TTAGATAAATATATCCATCATTACTGGAAAATTATCTATAAATAGGATACTTTCAGAATGATTCAGAAGGATCGCTCATATGCATTCTATTGTAATAATAAAATGCCATTTAAACGCGTTTCAGAGGAAAAAAAACGCATTCCAATGCATTTTTAGAAACACGTTTTAGTCGGTACATATCGGTTTCTCCCAATAAAAGGATGCGTTTCAATGCGTTTTAAAAACTGCGTTTAAGGTCTAGCGAAAACATGTGGACTAGAAAAAAAACGCGTTGAAACGCATTTTTATACCAAATTTTTTTTCATGGGAGATCCAAGTTTCTGTTAAACATACGACTAATTGTCGTTCGACCAACTGACGCTCTCCCGACTAAAGGGGTCATACTCTGAAAGTAATAGTCAATTCTGAATTCATTATTATAGAATCATCGGTAAGATTCCCTGAGAAATGTGTAGACTTTCCTACTAATAAAATACAAATAATTGTTAAAAAGTATCTTACATCATCGAATCGACTTAAGGGTTCATAATAAAAGTTTTCATAAAATTTTGAATTCCTAATATTTTATTTATAGTTTCCCTTCTGAGAAGAGGATTTTACATTCGGCAAATTTTTTATAGCCATAGATACTTTTTATATCATTCAATTAGCATAAATTATAATAGAGTCGAACTGATCTTGGCAAAAGTGTAGTCTTCTCTGATTTAGTGAACAACTTTTACTGGGATAATTTGTTTTTCATATAGTATGTGTCTTTACTGAGAAACATAAATTTTATAGCTAAGACTTTTTTTCTTTTATCTTTATCAAGATGATGAACAAGGTGGAGATCAATGGGGAAATTTTACTGGTCTTGAAAGAAAAAAAATTCGTTGTGCATTTATTCGAAAGGTTTGTAATGATCGAAACCTACAAAAACAAAAAAAAAGAATTTATTTGTCAAATAGGTTTATTTAATTCTCTTAATTCAATTATCGATTACATTTGGTCTTATTGCAATATGTCATTTTATGTATATTGTTTTTTTTTGTCTAATAAAAGACATTGAAAGTGAATATATGATATATATATATATTGTAGACCATCGATTCATAAATATGTACGAAGTTCGGATGGTAAATGGCTTTATTTTGTATCATACTTTGTTTTTTTTGTTACTTATTTTACATTGGTTTGGTCAAAGAGTGCAGCACGAAAATTTCCATGTAATCTTATTTTACTCGCTATTGTGGTAAAATAGAATAATAAGTTAAATTATTTTCTAAAATAAAATTTTTAATTTTAGACATTATCAATGGGTTATATGGTATGATTCGATTGATATATTATTATTATTATTATTTATTCATTAAATTTGTTTGTTTGTTTTTTTTTTGTAAAAACTTTAGTTGGGTATGATTTCAGCATATTATAAAATTGAATCAGTCTTAATTGCTGTTGGTATAACAGGATTTGTTTGTTTGGGTATTACATTATTTTCATTTCAAACAAAATATGATTTTACATTATGTTTTGGAGTTTTATTTATTATCACATTGGTAATTTTAGCTTTGACATTTATTTGTATATTTACTTTTTCAAGAGTAAGTATTTTAATTTAAACTATTATATTTTCTGAAAACATTTATTTCTTTAAGATAATGTTTACAATTTATGCTGGATTAGGAGCTATAGCTTTTTCTATTGTAAATATTAATAATTAAGAAATTTAAAGTAAATTATATTCTATGTTTAGTTCTTAGCTGTTGATACACAATTAATTATGGGTGGAAAACGACATGAAATAAGTGCTGAAGATCATGTTTTTGCATCACTTATGCTTTATATTGATATTGCTCAAATATTTATATTGATTCTTTCATTGTTCGGCATTCGGAAATGAAATTATCTTTTAACAACGGTATTTCATACATGGTTTTGACTAATTATCTTTACTAGTGTTCACTTTTCTAATGAATATTAAACTTTTTATTCTTTAAAGTTTTAGATGTAAACATTTTAACATGTATACTTAATTATGTTTGTGAACAAAAATAAATTTATAGTTATGGATAAAAGCTTCAAAAATAGTACTTGAAGGCCAAGATAAGATAACTTTTCGGACAGTATTATCTCGAGTTAGAAAAAATATCTAAAGACGTTTGACTTCTTGTTGAAAAGATTGACGGAGATGAGTTGAAAACTGTTTCATTACTCAGTACTTGACGTGAGTCTCAATCGTTTACTTGGCATATGAGTTAACAGAACTCCAAAGTTCTACATATCAACCGATTCGAAATTTTCGATCTCACTCAGACTTGATAACAATTATATCATTCAAAAGAGCGTGAAAAATTGAGTATTGTATATGGTAATACATATATAAAACAAAAGTAAAAATATTACAATAAATATTTCAAAATAAATTATTAGATTAGTAATGGATATAATTATCATAATAATAAAAATGATTATTCGAAGTTCAAGTATTTGAATTATATATATAGATTATTTAAAAATATGTCAGATATTGCGTCACGTTCACATTTTTAGATCAAAAAGAAAGTCATTTCTTTCATTCTTATTCTGTGAAGAACCAAAATTAATATAAATATTGTTTACGATATTTAAATAGATATTTGAATATTTTTTTTTCTGTTGATCATCACTCTCTTTTTTCTCGTTAAATATGAATTATATCAAGTGAATATTCAAATACAATATCATCACTTAGTATTAGAACAATTCATAACTAATATATATATATCTGTAGATTTATATGACATTGCTTTTAGTAATATGTGTCTCTACTTGTTACAATCAAAGCGACAATCCATAAGCAAAAAATTAAGGCCCAATGAAGAAATATTTCTTCTAAATAGGTGTGAGTGGGGTATGAGTATGGGTTCGAATGTCTTCTTCGCAGCCACCCGCACACCTACATCTACACCCAGTTACCATAAAAAAGACTTATTAGATCTTTTCTTTCGATATACAC